TTTCGGAATAACCTCGGCCCTCTCAGCACTATAACTTTCAATTATAATATTTCCAGTTCATGAAGTTTGGCAAAGGGTTTATCTACATAAAACAAATATGTTTTTCATAGTTGGTGGCATAAAAGTAATCAAAACAGTAGCTGTTCTATCTAACACAGGCGACTCGACGGCGTTCACAATAATAAGAACCATGCTAAATGGGGAGCTGTAATGGAAGATCTATCACGTGATTTCCAGGCGGCCTATGAAGACAAATTCGATGTTCCCCCAGGAACATGCACAGTGCAAGAAAGAATATCGAACATCTGTCGGTACCCTGATGAAATGAATGGTTATGGATCGAATCGACCATCGCCAAGAAATGTCAGCAACGTTCTTTTTCATCAGGTTAGCGTTGGGGCATTTTCAGTCTACAATGTTTTGTAAATTTGTGTGAAATACCGGCTATGGATTGTGTAACTACAACCTTCTCACCATTTTTGTCATGTTGTTTGTCGATGAAATCGCCAAGGATGAACAAAGGAACGTGTGTGCAGTCTCTTGCAGTGCGGCGTTCCCTTTATTGCAGAAAATTGTTCTTTCCCATTGTGCTCACCTTTAATTTCTTGTGGTGTACAGATAGAACCAATCATTAGTTCAAGGAAACTAAGTGACATGCATGCGCACTTTGGACAAGTAAGTAGGGACATTATAACATATATTACATATAGTTTTTTCTCCTCAATTTGGATGAACTCCGACGTTATTGGTTGACAAATTAAATTTAGGCTTTCATTTTTTTTTCATTTAAGTTTTTGACTCACGACATCGACTTTTCAAGTCCTTTACCCAGATTTGAATTTGAATCAAAATTGAATTCCGTTTGGATGCCAATCTCTGTACCAAAGGTATGTAAATTCATAATAAACAAATAAACAACTAAAAACGTGCTAAAAACCTGCAAACTCAAAATTGTGCGCAATGTGTTAAATGCATCATAATTTTGATATATACAACAGAATTTAAATATTGACAACGCAAATACAATGGAATCATCAACATCTTAAATGAAGACCGCTCTGTAGTCCATGGTCATCATGGAATGGTAGCTCTATATTTGAGACAACACCATCCTCCCTAGAGTCAACATCATTTGCTTTCCCCAAGATGATGCCAATTCATTGACGTCTCATGTAGATGTTATATAGATCGTAACGTGCATGAAAGAGTCAATCAGCTCTGGCTAATATCAAGCGCCATCAGGGACTAATAAGGAACACCTTTATCTTTGTTTCAGGGTGACGTTCACTTTGACAGAAGAGATACAGGGAAGGAATATCTATCATTTGTTCGCTCTACATT